GACTCATATTCTTGCTGTAGGTCATTTTAGGAAGACAATATTGCGTTTTGTACTGATTTTATCGAAATTGCCACAGTCTCTCGGTATATTGTGAGTATAGCAAGCTTTCAGTGTCGTTACGACAACAATGATAATTTCAGCATACGTCTTTTAACACCGTTTTCAAAAATACGGGCCCTGCTTTCGTTCGTTCACCGAGAAGAAAGTATAATGGGGCCAATTACAAATTTAATTAAATATGTGATAGCTAACAAGTTTTATTAGGCTAATTAAACTCTGATTCTATCTATGAAACTAGTCAAGTTAAGCCTAAACGCAATCGTCTAATTAAATTTATTAAACCGCTTACTTAGATTGAGTAATTTAAATGAAGTTAAAGAATTATCGAAATAAGTTTACCTGCTCCAAGTAAAACAGTTTAATTATGTTTATTAAATTGGCTTAATTAGTTTAAATAAAATTATTATATTTAAACCTAAGAGGATACTTGGATAATATTTAGAATTTAAAGAACAAATTGCAAGACTCGGTATTGATTTTGTAACCCTAGTAAAATTTGATATTCTTATCTTCATTAATTGTGAACTTATTATATATGGGATCACGTCTTACCAATTATTTGTCCTATTGTCCAAAAACAACTTATGATATATCACCATTCACTAGATAATAATAATAATAATAATAATAATAAATGGCTTTATTTCGTACCTAGGTAAAAGTATAAAAAAGGCGAAGTATCGCTAAGATTAGCATTTTTCAACTTAACCTCTGAAAGAACAAAAAAAATATATAATAAACCACCAATAAAAATGTATCCATAATTCTCAATAATTACTAAATAATTAACAACACAAAAAACAGAACAATTACAAGAATAGTCCATATTTCTAGCATTTTGTATTCATCATCAGACCTCGACTTGTGGTTTTAGTTTAAGCCTCTTTTCAAAATTAAATAATGTATAGTTTTGGAGTGTAACAGGCAGATCATTATATAATTTAATAGCGTTGTAGCTGAATGATTTTTTGTAGACAGTCTTAGAATGTAAGGGTATCACTATCATATTTCTATTCCTTGTACGAGCCCCTTCCCTCTTCAGTTGGCCCAACTATTGAAATCTTAGTTTTTTTCTTATCAAACACAAATAATAAAAATGTAGCAGGGTGTTGTAGGTTTAAAATATTAACAATAAATATTTTGATAATATATAGTAGAAAACACCAACTTTATCACTCCCTAATCAAATTTGCAGCATAAAAATAACACATGTTGCAATTACAGCATATCAACCTATTTTCATTTCAATGCAAAATAAGTCTATAACGCATAGCTGGCTGCGAAAAATAAAAGCCATGACAATTTATTGTTTTTATTAATCACAGCTGTCAGAATACGTTTAAAATAGTTTTGGGTAGTTAAGGTTTTTAAAATGGGTAGAGGAAAGGTTATTAGTGAGAAAATTTGGCTACTGATAATTAAATTTTTTAATTCTGGGAAATCAAACTCAGAAATTGCAACTTTGTTAGACTTATCGCGGTACAGTGTGAGAAATATTGTTAGAAGATATAACGTAACTGGTTCAGTTAATATTAAGCCACGATATGTGAAAAAAAGTAATATCACAAATGCCGACCGAAGAGCATTAAGAAGAATAATCGTGAAAAACAGGCGTGTCAATTATTTACAATTAAGTGCTCTGTGGAGTGACGCTGTTGGAAGGAGAATTTCGAGGTCCACAACTCATAGAGAGGCCCACAAACTGGGATTTAGCACTTGCAAGGTAATTTTTCTTATAAAAAAAAAGTGAAGTAAAAACCCTAAAGTTGCACAACTTGTTTATAGGCCAAAGAAAAGCCACTATTGACTCCACTGCAAAAGAAAAATCGGCTTAGATGGGCTAAAGAACATAGACAATGGACACCTCAACAATGGTGTGCAATACAATGGAGTGATGAGGCCCGATTCGAAGTTTGTGTTGGTGACAGTCGCAGTAGAGTTATTCGCAAAAAAATTAAGCATTCCATGTTGACTGTCTGAAGAGAAAAGTGAAATTTCCAGCATCCATTATGGTCTGGGGCAGTATGTCATCAAAAGGAGTAGGAAAACTTCATTTTATTGTTTTAAATGTGGATACAAATAAATATTTGGCAATTTTAGAAGAATCGCTTTTATCAGTGATGGAAGAATATTTGACATCCGGCCGAGACTTTGTGTTTCAGCAAGATGGTGCAGAGTGCCATACCTCAAAAAAGGCTATAAAATGGATGGAAGAAAATAATGTACCACTTTTGAAATGGGTTTCTAGCAGTCCAGATCTGTCACCTATTGAAACTTTATGGCATGAGATGAAAAAGGTTCTACGACAACATCCTGCTCGTACAATCACCGAACTGAGGCAAAAGCTTCAAGAAATATGAGATTGTTTTACACCGAATTTTTGCCAAAACTTGGTTAACACTATGCCCCAAAAAATTTCAGCCGTAATAAAAATAAAGGTGATGTTACCCAATGGTAATCTTTCAATGGTTGCTTTGTTAACTTCGCGCATTTATTCGCACATTGTTTATTTGTTCAGATGTTCTATTAGTTATAGGTCTAAGTGATTTCAAATATGTATTTTTTACGACTAGAGTGTATATAAAATGATTTGAGAAAATAAAGAGTTGATGATGCACTACATACGAATTTACGTGTTTTTTGTATTTTAGTTCTCAATCCAGTCCCAGGTTTTTGCACTCATTCATTATAGGAAGCCGGAAATAATAGATTTTAGGGTTAATTTCCATTTCGATCAATGTTCTTCTGTTTTTTGAGCAGAAAAGCGAGAGACAGGCGTCTACTAGCCTTGGTAAGTCTTCGTAGAGCAATGCTTCTGCTATTTCATTTGTTTGTTAAAAATTCAGAGAGTAGAGAGGGGGATACCAGAAACTGCATATGGTCACTTGATCATGCGTAAAAAATTGTACTTTTATTTCTAATAATGAAACAATACGGCACTCATCTAGATTCAACGCATTTATATACACCATGTAAACTAATTTGACCTCACAGCTCCACATCCTATACATTCAATATGAAACAAAAGGGTAATATGAAGATATCTAAATAATACGAGTATGAAAATATTGTACCATGCTAATTTTGGAAGTGTTTTAAAGTATGGGATTATTTTTTGGGGGCGCAATAGATTTATTAAAATAAAAATGTTGTTCAAAAAAGAGCAGTACGTCTGCTAAAGGGACTAAATTTCAATGAAACTTGCAGGAGGGTGTTTAAAACTGAAAAAATCGTGACTATGTAAGCATCTATGTGTATCAGTGTCTTATATATTTTTTTTAAAATAAAAATTTAGTTGAGCTTGAGGTGCAAACTGTTTATGATACTCGAACAGTCAATGTCAATTATCCAATACATAGATTATCCTCCACAGAAAAAGCCCTATTTCCATGTGTTTAACATTTTTTAACAACCTACCAAATGAAATTAAAAACATAAACATAATTTTAAAAAGACTATTAAGCAATTTCTAGTACAGTCAGAGCCTTATACAATAGATGAGTTCTATGGGAGTTGTAATAGTTTCAGATTGTAGCTGTTTCAAGATAAATAACCATGTAACACAAAAAATGGTCTCAGGTAACAACTATAGTTACGGTGATAGTGAGGCAACATTTCAGTTTGTATTGGCTATACAATGTTTGTAATGTTATTGTACAATTTGAAATATGTATAGATTATTATTATTATTATCCTGAGTTTTCACAGCTTAAGCTGCTAGTATCTGGGCGACCTCGAATGATGTTTATAGATGTTGGCTCTGGGTGGGAATGAACTTCATCATGACCCGCCCTCAATTTCCGATATCGATAAAAACTTTCTTGTAATCCGACAAGTGTCGAGGATCACTGCCTTCTGCAGTTGTATACATGTACCCTTTGGAAGGTTCAAGACCTTCAAATTCTCCGACAAAGCGTTCGTGGCCACCCCTTCCACTGATATGATGATGGGAATAATCATTACTTCTTTTAACTTCCACATCCGTGCTAATTCTATTTTGAGGTCTTGATATTTGGAGCATTTCTCAGTTTCCACGGACTTAAGATTATGTGTAAGTGGAACCGCAATATCGATTATGATTCCCGTTTGTTTCTGTTTGTCTATAAGGACTAAATCAGGGCGATTATGCTCTATGCGCCTATCAATGGTTATTGGGCGATCCCAATACATCAATAGGTTCTGATTTTTTAGAACGGACACAGGGTGATATTTGTAGTAGGGCACCTTTGCTTTTATTAGACCTTCTTTGTGTGCGATTAGCTGGTGTATTATTGCGGCTACTTTGTTGCATTATTATTATTATTATTATTATTATTATTATTATTATTATTATTATTATTATTATTATTATTATTATTATTATTATTATTATTATTATTATTATTATTATTATTATTATTATTATTATTATTATTATTATTATTATTATTATTATTATTACTTATACAGAGTGTTTCGTCGGGAGCAAGAAATATTGAAACCGTCGTTATAGGTCACTAAGCGCCTTATGCTGGAATATTTCACTTGATCATACTAACTGATCTACTACGCAACTAATACATCAACAGCGGTAACATTCGAATATGAAGCTCATCGAGAAAATCACGAATGAAACTGAGGAGTTCGAAGTGCGTCGCCGGCACCGCATCTGCGGCATACTCCCGATCATTTTCGAATGATGGACCGGGTACTGCCGAGTACGTGATTCAAATAAACAGTTTCACTATTTTTAATAAAGTGTTTCATTGATTTAAATGTACCTTTTCTACTTAAACTAATAGGTGCTCGGTTTGCTATTTCATTATTAAACTGGTATTAAAATTCAGTTTAATTAAGCCGAACAATTCGGTCACTTTGAATAATTGAAAAATTTATTACGAGTAATGAAAATTTACCAAAAAAACTGATTAATTGACCACGCTTTTTGGTGTTTCTCCTACCTGGAGACCAAGTGTAGACCGTGCCGTTTGCCACATGTACACGTTTGGAGCTCTGTTGATCGAACGGACGAAAGCAGTATTATTACTTGCGATAACCGACTTCAAAGCTTCCTATTGGGGGGTAAACTTGCTCTCCCTAATCCGATTCTGTGCTCGCGCCGTTGTCATCCACCTCACGCCGTATTCAAGATGGCGCGTCGCCGACGCTGACGTCCGACGTCACGACGCCCCACGCCGCCGTCACGATCGTCGATTGTTTGAAGTGAGTGATGACAGTTGCAGGGACATTCCAACCAAGGATTGCTTGATTGTTATTTGCGCAAGCCTGTGATTGTGCTGTGTGCTGTGTTTGTTCCCAACGAAGCATTACATATGACCTTTAGGGAGGGCCGGTAAGTTTTCCTACCAAGAGCATCGAAAGGGGGTTAGGGGGTTACCAGGGTGTTGCTATGGCGTTGGAAGGACAAACACTAGATATCATATGGCTGTTTGTCACGTGCGTTCGTGGTGCTTGAGTGGGATAGATCAAGGGGGTTTGAGACGATATGTTTACGTAGAGGTTGAATGACACTTGACATCTTTAGAGGTTTCTTCTAGAAACCGCTGAAGCTAATCTAGTACATGACGACAAAAAACACAAATGTCGTAATGAATTATAAGTTTTACCCTATTTGTCGAAAATAAAACTTGTAAGGTAACTTCGTTACTTACGTTAATAGCATAATGAAATGTATTGGGGTCATGACATGGCTGTTGCTACGTGTATTTTTGCGTTACAAACACCTAGTCACCTGTGAGGATTGAAGGGCAACAAAAAAGTTCATTTTATGGTTAGATGACCTAATTATTCAACATCCATCCAGACACAAACAAATCACATGGTTTCTATCAAGGGCGTACCCAGTTCAAAAAGTTTTGGTGAAAGTTCCACAAATCACATTATCTTGACATCTTTCCTTTTTGCATTTCATTTATATAGAGTCTTCCAGGATGATATGACTATTCACATGAAGACAGAGAACTACTACGGTTGCTTTTTAGAAACATTCCAGCAAAAATTGCTCGACATGTTTTTTGAAGTAATGATTTAGTAGTTTGCAATACTTAAAAGGAACACTTCATATAGTATATCATATAGCTAAAGATAGTTTTATACGAGATAAGACACAGGTATTATGTAAAAATACCTATAAAACATCAAAAAAACTTATAAAATCTTGCATACTTGATAGTTATTGTGTAAATAGTTCATTCCACTTTTGCTGCTATGAGCGCTGTAAGCGTCCATCTATGGAGGAATGACTCAACTACACGCATTGTTGGTTGCATATGTTTTGTCCAGTAGTCTGCAGTTTTCATCTCTGCGAAGAAAGTTGGTTGAATGGCAAGATCGCATCTGGATGATTATATATGGGTCTACATCAGTGATATTTGCTATGTCAGAAAATTATTACTGAATATGCTGCCAATGAAGTATATCTATTAGCTGCGCATGACGGGTTATTTATATGTTGTCCTTTCCGAAGACAGGTCATTTTCAAAGTTATAAATTATGAAATTTCCCGTTTTTTCGTGCTTTCAAGAAGTTTGAAGAGCACTACGAGAAATCGCCAATGTGTGCACATTTTTGCAATGCCCCACATCTAGACGCTTATTTGTATTTTCTATTGACAACGCAAAATAAATTTCTATAAAATTTAAATGACTGGAAATAAAATAATGTAATAACCTTTTCACTCTCATTAATATTCCTGACTGTAACATATTTTTTCACCTGATCCTCCACCAACCAGGGATTTTCTTTTCTTATCTCTCTCGTTTTTGAGATTCAACAAATTTGCATATGTACTGGACCTCCAGTAATGCAATCTCTGCAGCAGATTTTACATCACATCAGAGCCAAAGATTGATAACTGAAGCATCATGACGTGTAGGCAACACGTACAACTACAAAACGAGTTCACAACGTGACCATCAGCTAGTGCTAAGTTAACACCTCGTAGAAAAACCACAAAAAACCAATGCAATATCAAAAAAATTGACTTAATGTCACTTTTCACGATACATAATACTCGGTCGGTTGAATGGTGGCAAAGTTGCGTATATATATATATTTTAGTAAATGCATTTGAAAAGTTCTGACGCTTCCAGTATCTCCAGGTATACACGAAAAAGGGAATTAATTTTCCTAAAACCTCCTAGTCTGAATAGCAGGATAAGATTTCAAAATAGGTGGCATAAATATACTAAGTGACATATAAATCCGAACACCCAGTTTAAATGGTTTTATTTTAATAAAAGTTGGTGAATGTATTTATCTTACTGTAAATAACAAGTGAAAAAATGTTCAGCCTTATGAGTTGGACATTCCGGTTTTTATACTGCTTTTTTTGAATTCACTAACGCTCTAAAAATGAATATTTCAGCCGCAGTAAAGAATCAACGTTGGGGGATTTTGGTTCTTGACACCCTTTACGATCGGTTACGATGCCTAGAGTACGGAGACCTGTACGATTTCGTCAACTTAGTGAGTTTGATAGGGGCCGTATAGTGGGACTTCGGGAAGCTGGACTTTCTTTTCGGGCAATTGCAGTTAGAGTGCAGAGAAGTGTAGACACTGTGGTTAGGTGTTGTCAGGCATGGCTTCGAGAAGGCCGTACGCAAAGAGCAAGGGGCACTGGACGCCGCCGTAGAACAACAGACCATGAAGATCGCCGCCTAAGATTATTGGCCTTAAGGGACCGTTTCTCCACTACCAGGTCCATTGCAAATGAATGGTTTGCAGAACACGGAAGAACTATTGGCATGCGAAGTGTTCACCGACGAATGAGAAGTTTTGGCTTGTTTTCATACCGGCCACACTGGGTCCTCCCTTTAACTCGAGAACACCGACGTAATCGCCTTGAGTGGTGCAGACAACGGTCACTTTGGGATCAGGAATGGAACAGTATTGTCTTTAGTGACGAGTCTCGATTTTGTTTAGGCATGCACGATGGTCGTGCCAGGGTTAGAAGGCGACGTGGTGAAAGGAGGAATCCACAGTTCATCACACTATTGGAGTTATGGTTTGGGGTGCTATAGCTTATGGTTCCAGGTCACCTTTAATCTTCATCAGAGGTAACATGAATGCGCAGCGTTATATCCACGAAGTTCTAGAACCCCATCTTTTACCCTATCTTGACACCCTGGCAGATCCAACTTTCCAACAAGATAATGCCCGACCACATGTTGCAAGAGTCACAATAGACTTCTTTCAACATAATGATGTCACATTGTTACCATGGCCACCAAGATCTCCCGACTTATCCCCAATTGAGCACTTGTGGGATATGATGGGTAGGAGATTGCTCAATTTGCAACGTCCTCCTCAGACTCTAGAAGCACTTCGAGAGGAGTTGGTGGTTGCCTGGAATGAGATACCTAGGCGCGTTGGAGAATGCGTAGCACATCAGGGTGCATCCACACATTATTAAAGGTCAAAGGGCTTTAAAGCAGTGCAATCATTTTGAAATTTTTATCATTTACTTATTATGCTTCATTGAGTACTTATACAAAATTTTATTAAAATAAAACCATTTAAGCTGGGTGTTCGGATTTATATGTCACTTAGTATATGTAGAAACAACATTAATATGATTTTTCGTCTATTATTACTCGTCTGTACTTTTCTCACGCATGCCGTTTTTTTTTACTCATTCATAGAATTTCAAAGATCATGTGACGCATTGATATAAAACTTCAAGTGCCTAATTTCATATAGTTCGTTCAAGCTTATCGAGTGAGAAACAACATAATATCATTCAAGCGTAATGATGAAGACTTCGAAAATGGTACGATTTTAAAAACTGAGAGCTGGAACGTCAGATCGAAATTCTATTCCTGTCACCATGTAGAAGAGCAAAGGTCTGAAGCGGTTCTGAAAATATTAATTAATTTCCACTTTCCTAAAACTTCAACATCCCGAGTTTTTGTAAGGAAACATTTTTGGACCACAGTTTGTAAAGCAAAGTAACATTAATTTTCCATGTAGATTCACACCCTTAAATATTCGCATATCATTAAGGAACACCCTGTATATAGTGCTTTTAGCACAATTAAGTTTATATCTAACATAGATTTCAACTAATCCTAGTAATTTTTTATCTGATGAGTATTGAATCAGCTTGTTGAGAATCTTGAATGAATAATTTAATTCTTATAAAAGATGTTCTCTCCATTTAACCGCCGAGCTAGGGAAAGGGGGGGGGGGCAGCTGCCCCCTTGCCCCAGCCCTGGGTACGCCTTTAGTTTCTATGGGCATATAAAAGCCGTCATACATGGTGGCTATTAGCCAGTGCGTGTATGGGTTATAAATAAACACATTAAAAACGTCTGGGGGCATTGGAGCACGCAATACATGTTTAAAATATGGGGTTGAATTCAAATGAACATCGACAACTTTGCTAATTTAAATTCGAAAACTTCAGCCCATCTAATTAACTGTAATGTACATATTTGCTTTCATCCTCTGTAATTATGCCCAACCATAGACAGCGCTGTTTCGTCCTCGTTAATAACTGATCAGTGCGGTATAAGTTTTAGGTCTAGTGTTGCAGACAGACGAAATGGGCAGTAAGCAAGTAGGCATAGTATTTTGAAAAATTCATCACTTCTAACGATCGTCCCCTACAAAGGAATCGTATAGGACGAGCATGGGAAGATTTTCACCTACTTGAGCACAATCTAATTGAATCGGTTTTAAAGAACTTTTTTGAGCTTCATATGGTGTTTGAGGAGGTCTGAAAAGATTGAAATCTCCATTAACCTTCACATTTTATTATTAACTAGACTAAGTCCTCGGCTCCACCCGGGTGGATCCGCAGGTGAAAGTTGCAGGTCACTCGTTTTGCACTAAGGTGAAGGAGTTTGGTCTTGGAGAAAAAGCTGCAAATTGCTGCAATTCAATATAGTTACTTTGGAAATTGATATTTTTATACAACATTTTAATGGAACAATAAATCAGTTTCAGCGTTTTGCATTTTAATATCCTCGAACAGTAAGGAGATTACTTGAAAATTTATCTGATCTTAAAATGATCTTGAAGATCGTAGTCAGATTTATTGGCAAGGATATACTCGAACTTAAAATTATCAGCAATGTGCAATTGAGGATTTAAAAAGCAAGGCTATACTTAAATGTAAAAGTTCTTTTTCTTTACATTTCCGGTGTCAAAAGTAGGGCTTCCATTTAAGGAAACTGTCTTGACCTTCATA